CTGAAGGGCTGTCAGCCTCTTTGGGAGGCCAGGCTGCCTTGGCTTTGTATCCCGCGTAATTTTAAGGGCCAACTGATCATTGCTCCGTTGTTACTACAGCAGCTTCCATGCTCGTGTGGGCCTTACGCTGTCACAGAAGATCTTCACGTGTGTGGAACCAAGCTTTAGTATTTTCCCACAACTGTATCTTGCGGTTCACAGCAATTATAAATTTAATCCATAAGCATGGGCCTTATCACTGAGATCCAATGCTCTAGAAAATGAGTTTCCAAATATTGTAGCAGCTATGGTAAGAAATTGTATTTTCCAGGTGCTGTGAATAGCATAATTGCCCTCTTTGTCATCATCCTAAATGATGAGAACATAAAAAGCTGGGAACGTGGATCTAAAGATGTCAAGATCAGCAACCCTCAAGACAGGAGAATCTTGCAAGCTGCAGTTTTAAGAGTTCGGTGGTCCTGGGGCGGTGGTCGTCCCGTGGTGTAATTCCCAGCAGGCAGCCTCGGATTCTGCTGACTGGAATTACCCATTTGTTGTGCCAGTTCAGACACTTTGGTCAAAATGAGGCCGCTGGGCTCTGTTTACGAAGAAGTGTCATTAAAAATTTGTCCAATTCTCAATCTCGAGCAACCTACTGACAGATGTATGAAAAAAACTGCACCTAAAACGTACTGAGATCCCTACAGCTCTTACATCTTTGCAGGAGAAATAAGGCAACATAGCCAATTTGTTCGTGCAAGGAGACAAGTAGCATCTGTATAACATCCCTGACTGAAAGAATTAACCCTTTCTATTTCTTCTATTAATTGTGATTTATTTAGAGATTGCATTTAATTCCCCAAGAAAGAGGATCTTCTTTCTTTTTAGTGGTGCGTCTACAGCTGGGGTTACCAAACGATTTATCAGCACCTGCCAGGCTAAGTTATAAAAGTCTTGGTGCTGGCGCAGAGGAGAACACTGGAGTTGGCTCCCTGGAGGAAGTTACTGCTCTTCAGCTGATCGGGAGGCCCAGGAAGTTGCCTTCATACAGACAAGGTCCGGTGCCTTGACACTGGTCACCACCTCTCGCCCATCTCTGTGGAAGTAGCACCCCCGGTGTTGTCCCCGGTGGTCACACCACCAGGAAGGCCGCTCACCAGGCAGGACAGCTGTTAGCTCTAGTGCTGTCCCTGCAACCTGTGCTCGGCTTGGCTCGCTACTTATCCCTGGGAACAGAGCACAGGGCTTGCCCCTGCCAGCAGCAGAAAGGCTTTAGGCTCGGCTTCTTCCCCCTACAGCTACATCCACTGGGCTTTCTGAAGTGCTCCGTACTGTTAACGTTAGTCTAAGCAGGGGCTTCTAAGGGAATCTCTTGCCTGTGCATGATCGATCCCATGCAGCAGAGAGGGACAAAGCTTCTGAGGCATCTATTCCCACATCCCAGGCTCACAGCCTTCTTTGAGAGACCTAGTACGTGTAGAAAAACCAATAATAAACTCTGCCTCTTTCAGGAAAGTATGTGCAGCTATGCAAAATATTTATAATTCTGATAGGCCAGGAAGTGAGCTTCAACACCAGACCTGTAATTGTCCAGGCTGCCTAATTGTTAGCTTGCTCCCTAGCTCTGTTTTGTAACTGCTTTTAATTAATCCTCTTCATGACAATGTCCAGGGGTATTATTTCAATGACAGTTCACTCCAAACACAACTCCCAAAAGAGCAGTGTGAATTTGGGGAACCCTCCGCTTGAGATAGGACTCCAATAAAAATGAAAAAATGTCACCATGAGGGTGATCAAGCACTGGAACATACTGCACACAAAGGTCTGTGAAATCTCCTTCTGTGGAGATACTCACAGCTTGGCTGGGCAAGACTTTCAGAACGGATCCAGCTGTGAAGTTAGACCCACCTTGAGCGGATGGTTGGGCCAGCCGACCTCTAGCAGTCCCTTCCAACCAACATTTTTCTACGATTCATCAGGCTTTGAACCCTTGGGTACCCTCAGATACTCTCAGTGCTCTACATCGCTGTCTCTGAGACTGACACGTTTGTGTTCATGAGATAGAAACGGCTGCCTTGGTGACCTGCAGCACAGCGTTCACCATCAGGAACTTGGAAACAGAAAAAAACCCATCCCATGTGAGGGCCACAGGGCTTCCAGAGTCGAGAGGAGACCCGTGGCTGTAAACAAGGCCGCTCTGTTCTAGATGGATGTACCCCAAGGAATGGGGATGTGAGCCAGGTCTTGTTGTTTAGCCTCAGGTTTAGGGACCCTTCCCGACCCTTGGAGCAGTAAGGCTGTGCAGATGTAGGCTGAAGGAAAAGCTGTACAGTCAGCGTAATGTGAAAAACCCCAAACAAGAAGTGAATTACAATTTAAAGGAAGCATTGCTGAGTCTGGTCTTCTGAATCCATGGCACAGTCCGAAATCCCAACAGGGCTACCATGCCAGTTATGTAAACATTTTTTGGGGGACATTTTAAACTTTTTTAGTCTTGAACTCAGTCAGGACTGCATTCAGTTACTGAACCATTATGGCATTCAATAACTACACAGGATAAAACAGTCAAAAAATACTCTACCTAGCACTAAATGGGAAGTTCGGGGTGACAGTTTCATTACAGTGAAAGAAGAGAAAAAATGGATAGGAAGGTGTACGTTTTAAACCTAGACAAGGCGTTTTCTTTAGGAAAACCTAGCAACTGTGCCAATTCAGAAAACATCCAGAAGAATCAAGCTGTTCTTTATGAAACAAAATGCAATTTCCTGCAGGAACCTAAGGATTAACTACAGTGGGATATTTAGGAAAGGCCTCTGTCTCCTTTAAATCAGGATAATAAGGAAGTATTTACATACAGTCACAGGTAAAAACACAGGAAACCAAGAGAGCCTAGTTGCTTTCCCACCCTTCTCAAGCACTCATTCAAGAGAGGGGATACAAGGTTTAAGAACATAGCCTTTATTGATGACACTGGAAAGCAGACATTTTAAAGCAACTGATTTTTCATAAACAGGAAAGAAAATTTTACTTCGTATGATGTAATGACATAAAATGTCTTCAAGTCAGTAATATAAAAAAAATAAAAAATGTTTGCATACTTCATAATGTAGTACCATCAAGAAGTCCTAAGTAACTGTATTTTCTATAAGAAAGGGAAAAATAAAACAGATTTGCATGGACAGAAGTCAATAGTAGAAAACAATTAAATGTATAAGGAATTCTGATGATTTGTGAGCTCAGTTCTTGAGGATGGCTAAAGAAATAGATCCTAGCAGGATCAAACCTTGTATAGTTACACTCATAGGTGTAAAAGTAATATTGCCAGTTAATTGAAATATGCATTTTCAGTGTTGTTCTGAAAATGAATGAAGTCCAGAAGCTAAACTTTAAGCTCATATGTTCACATTTGAAATAAAATTCTTCTTGCATCCTGTATAATTAAGGCAAAGTACGTTATCTTTTGAAAATACCTTGTTTCTGCATAAAAATATGAAGTAAAAAATAAAACTATATATATATATTTAACGGAACACTGTTATGTATGGTCCAGCAGAATAAGGCACAAAAAGTAAATAGAATGCAAAAGCATATATAAAAGTTAATGTGTTATTTTGAGGGGAATATAGCAAAATTCAAGTAGTTCTGAGTATGCTCATTTCTTGCAATAGGAATACATATTTTATATAGGTATTTCATGCTAAGCCTGATGTACAAAGATTCATCATGTAAGCATAATCTATCAGGAGTAGGTCATTTGTACAGTGACTGTATTTAGAAATCTGATACTTTTCAAACCATCTGAAACAAGGCTCCTTAATGAGACAACTTGGCCTGAAATCCAAGCGTGAATTTTGCCGTGAGGTGAAGTATGTTGGTTTCTTGCCCCAGTCACTTGACTTGGGCAAGTTTTGTGTGCATGCTTAATATGAAAGTTAATGCTTTCATTAATATAAATGACAATACATGCCCCTAAAGTTAGACACATTTGCACAGTTTGTTTTCACAGGTATTCAGAAGCGAATTTGCTCTCTGTAAAATTCCACAGCGATTACTGTGCAGAACAGGCCACCTGCATCAGTTCAACTGTATTACCAGGCTGAGAAACCTTTCAGGTGAGCTGGTATTTAACTTAGTTTGGAAATATCATCTGTTTATCGACAAATAAACATATGTGTATAGAGAACAGAGAATCTTAAGATACTTTGAGTTGATAGAAGGCATACATCATCATTTGTAGTCTGACTGCAGCCTCAAAGCAGCCCCCCCGCCAAGTAATGTAAGATTTTCACAAAGGAAGGGGAGAGCAGATGAAGTCTTTACTTCCTTCCCAAAGTTTCAGCTAGTTTCTTCAGTCTTTTCTTCAGCTCTAGAGGAAACTTCTCATAACACTTTTTGCAGACAGGCTTCATATCAAACTCCACAAATTTATTCCTAAAACGACAAAGCAAAAACCAGACAAAGTTTTAGCAGCAGGGATAGTGAAAAAATAATTCAAAAAAAGCATCCTATTAAATGTGCACAGGCAAAAAATTACAACTGCAATTTATAGATATATGTGAAGTTACTTGTGTAAGGTTATACACTGTAGACAGTAATTACAGTACCCTGTTGAGTAAGTTACGCAGTTCTTACCCAAACATCCATATTTATTAACCGTGTAATTTCAAAAGGCTTTCAAACCTAACTGTAGAGCTAAACAGACTAAACATAAGATAATGGAATAACAAGTTAGTATTTCAAGTTGCAGTTGTGCGAAAAATATTTTGGTTTTGATTGCCACAAATTCATGCAAAAACTTAAAATAAAAGCATCCTTAGCACTGACCAAAGAAGAAAGGAGCAGAGGTGGTGGTGAGAAGGAAAAAAAGTTTACAAACAGATTGGCTTTTTCTTTTTCTGCTTCTCTTTATCCTTTGCTTCACGTTCCCGTTTGGCAAGTCGTCGCTTAAATTCATCTGGCATTTTCTCATAACAGTGTTTGCAGACAGGTTTTAGATCAATTTCAACAAACTTATCCCTTTAGAGTTAAACACAGAAAAAATAAAGGACAGAAGAGGAGAAGAGTTAAGACGACTAACTGAAGGAAGACCTGAAGAGACAGCTGAAAGAGATAAAAATTAGTAAGTGGAGCAAGAGGAAGAAAGATGCACATATTTTCTCAATGCTGCTTATATGTTTTTCATACCGTAAAGATTTATGCTATAGCAACATCTACACTTTGAAAATAACCACTGATATGTTTTGCATCACACTTATCGATAAACTTACTTGAGTGTTAACTTAGTGTTGCAAGTTGAACAAGCGAAACAGTTCACACACCATGCCTTATTCAGAGCAGACACAACTAGGGCAATGGGAGAAAAAAAAGAAATCATTAGCATTACCAAAAAAAAGAAGTTATTACAAAAATTTTAAGCTCACACGTTCATGAGGCGTGAAGAACAGTCACGAAGGCTGTTCATGAGGCATGAAGTCACATGATTCTGTGATTTGATTCTTGATTCAAGCCTTAAGGACCATAACAATAACACGGCAAGACTAGGGAGGCACATATAAGTGCAGTGTCGCAGGACTGTGAAGCATTGACAAAGCTGTCTCTCAGGCAAGACCAGTTTAACCTATTTCTGCCTGTGTTTATTGCTTCCACCTCATCTCATAGCATGCTGACACCTCAGGCAACTGTTCTATGAGGCCGTGTTTCCAACTTAATCAGGAAACTTTTGCAGCTGAAGAGCAATCCAGCAAAATTGTGTTTATGTTTTCATTTGGTTTAATTTCTCAGATCCAGTTCAGACTGCAGTGCCACCAACAGTAGCACTTGCCCAGCTGAAGAAAACAACATGAAGCCAGCAGTCAGGAGACTGCCGGTAAATCAGCACTACCAAGGTAAAAACAATTATGGACTCATGGGATAAATTACTTGATCAAGACAAACTTGGATATACTTTTATTCTTTGCTTTGGAAAGAAAGTAACTATTTTCACTTTGTTCTGTATCTCAATCCGTTTTCTGTTCCTCCTGTCTTTCAATACACCTTCCCATTTTTCCCTGCCAAAATTTGCCTCTCAATCTAAGTTAGAGGATGCAGGACAATGGTTTTCTCATAAAACACAGTATTTTGTCAACAACAAACAGAATCAGAGCATTGTCATGCAGAGCTTTTTTCCTGCACTATGGGGCAAGCAAATCCACAGATCCATAGTTATTCCACTGCTTGCCAAAATACTACTAGTCAGATGAAAGTCTTCACTCCCAAGCAACCTCTGTAATACAGTCATAGACATCCTCCTGAAAAACTGCTGCCACAGATGTTTCACCAGAGAGACCAATATTGGATACTCATAATTTGTGACAGCAGCGTAAAATTTGTATGCAGAAATGAAAGAAGAAATGTAATTGAAGATGTACATTGAAAATAAAGAAATCGCTGCATTGCAGTATATTCGGTTCAGTTCAGAGCCCAAAACATACAATATGGGTGTCAGATTATATGGTGAAAGTTTAGAATCGTACAGAGATGTAGTTTTCAGACGAGGCTGAATTTATTAATTCACCTCAAGTTCCAGTCCTGCTCATTCTAGTAGGATTTTACTGAAGAGGAGGACACTGTTTCCTCTAAAGCGTTTTGGATTGTCGTTCTGCAGGTATAGCCCAGTCCAGAAAATGTGAGGAAAGCACTTCTCTGGAATGTAAGTCTCACCCTATAGTTACATGTATAAACTACTTTATGTCTCTTTTTACATGCTAGAGGCTTCCTCCTACTTTGCTAATGGCTTTGGCTTAGGTGAGGCCAAAATTGGTATTACAGTATTTACTTCGGGCAGGGGTAAATAGACACATAATGTTACATTATTTCAGGTAGAATAATTTGCTTTTGGCATTTTATCATAGCTGGTTGTCCAAAAAAACCCTCAAAACACACCCTCACCCCCGACTCCCCCCCTCAAAAAAAAATCCAACAACCAAACAACAAAAAACCAAACAAACTTAAACCACTTGCTTCCAGTTCTGCCTTTACAGGACGCATCTTTCCAAGTATGATCTTTCCTGGTTTTGTGACATTATCATCAGCCTAGATTTTCAAAAGACAGGTGCCTGTGACAGACAGGTAAATATCTCTAGGAACCAAACTGACATAACGGGAACGAAAAAATCCCTTTAAAAATCCTTTAGAGTGCCCACCTGTGTTTTTCAATATCTAAATACTTTTGCAAATTTGGTTCATGATCCCTAAATTCATTTGAGGAGATGCCTGTGTGGTCCTTCTCACCCTTGTGTGCATTCTTTTTTGAAGTCGGTGGGGCAGGAAGCCGGTTCTGTGCATCTCCCAGCATCCCTGGCCTTTGTATGTCACTAAGGGGTTTCCAGTTGACCACGGTTCTCTTCAGCCACTGCGTGGTCTTCTACCATCATGAAACGCCTGCTGTAAGGTTTTCTTAGCATTTGGTCTCTGACTAATCAGCTCTAACCTAATTTCTGATCAAGAGAAAGGCTGTTTTTGTTTTAATGAGGACAATGAAGGATTCAACAAGGGGCTGCTTTCCCCTTACTTCCCCTTTTAAAGAGCACTGCCATCAGAAAGGAACATTAAGGGAACGGTTAGAAAAGTGCTTACCATCTCCTTCAATCACACGGTTGCAATGGAAACAAACATCACCGAATAGCTGAAGAGGAAAGAGAAGTAACAAATTTTTAATGTAATGATTTTATCGAGGGTAACTTCTCAAACTAACAGAATAACTATATTTCAGCTGATGGGCACAAGAACTTTCCTATTTATTTCAGTAAAATAAGGAGAATGCTGGCAAGTCTGGTTTGGTTTTCCAAGTACATTTTGCATCATCACAAAATGTCTTTATAATATGAAAGATGAAAGCATTTGTTTACATCTCTTTGATCCTCTGTAAATATGATTTTGTTTTGTTTTAACATTTCTCTAATCCTGAACATTTGAAATACAGCAGTTGGTGTCATATATGCATCAGTACTAATCAGCCAATTTAACATTTGGACTTACATGCATGACTAGAACAACATATTGCTATTTCTGGCAAATACTGTAAGGAAATGTTATTTTTATTTAAATTTAATAAAAGGGAAAATTTAGACCAAAAGTTATTCATCCTATTTCCAGGCTTAACATTTGTCCACAATAAAACAATTAAGAAGTGCCCAAAATGTCATGTATTTTTTCTAACTAGCTGTTGACCTAGTAAAAGACATCCACTCTACATACAGCTCTTGTCTGGTATATGTACTTGCGCCATCACGGCTGCAACACTATTACTACTAATGTCATGGCATTTATTGTCTGCAAGTATGCCAGCAACATTTCAATCATCTGCCCTTCATCACTGACAAATTAAGAATCCATCTGTAATTAGCAGATGCCTTACAACTCCCAAATGTAACCCCTACTCTTGTATTTATATAAACGAAGAGGTGGACGTGACACAACGCAGATGGCTTCCAAATAAAAAAAGCTCTCTATGTCGTGGTGCTGGACTGCACAATCAAGGGAGTCTGGAGAGATGGTGCCATGGTATGTAACTCCTATATAAATGCAAGTGATCACTAGGTGGTGTCCTCTGACAAATTCACTCTTCAGCAACCTAATGAATAAGCTGGGTGATGCAGTGTATGGTAACACACGCGCATCTTAAGTAGCAGCTGTAAGGGAAACCAAGCTACCTCACGGTAGGGAAAACCATGCTACTCATGAGGGCCTTGTCTTAAACCGCAGCTACTGAGTGGCAAATTGTCTTTAGCTTCTTGGGAAAGACTGGGTGTCATTAGCTGCTCTGATCTCACAGACACGTAAAAGCTTCTAATAGCTCTACTTAAGTACCACTAAGTTTGAACAACAACCCCATACTGATTGTCCTGGCTAGCCTTTATGAAATACCTGCAGTTTTCTTTCTCAGTACCAGACCAATGTATAGAGAAACCCATATAAATTCACCGCGACAGAACATCTGCTAATTGGCATTACACCCACAGGTGCCTATAAGAAAACAGAAGACTGTCCATGGTTTTCCATTTCTGTCTAATAAAACCAATTCATGAGTTTACCAATTAACACCGTTTTTAAAAATATGCAACCTTACCTGATTGTAGTGGGTTTCACAATATGCTAAGCCTTTTCTCTCATAATGACGATGACCCAGGAATGGCTTTTCACATTTTGCACAAACAAAATGCTACAAAGAAAATTACATACATTTTTTTTGATTATTTGGAAGTAATGGTATTTTTTCTGGAAAGCAAACCAACCAAGCCCAGTACTGAATGTGATTGAGGTCCACTGAGCTAGCTATGCCATCTTGAAAAATAAGAGTCAAAACCTTTTTGTTTCTACATTTAGACCACTAAAATAACATTCCTGTTAATGTCTTCAACATTTTAATCCAAAAGTTACAAAAAACTCCCTCAACAAATCACCAAGCAAAGGGATTCTCATATGTTCTCAATGAACAGAATGAAGAGATATTAAATAATTTGCACCATCATTACACTTTTGTGAAGAAAACGTTTGCTGGAGGAGATTTTCAAAACAACAAAAGGAATAAAATGTTTATCTCCCTAATTTAAATGGAAGATGTAGAACTAATTCTTGTACATGGTCTTGAAATATGAACTCTCACAGAAAGTGTTTTAGAGATTTACACGGCAGGTGACTATGTAAGACGTAAGGGTATTGTGATGCTCAGTAACATTATGGTTGCCACAGAATTTTACTGCCTTTCCACATGTACTGCTTTGCACTCTGAAATTTTCTTTTGTAAGGCCCTCCTTTGATTACTGAGTTTAGTTTCACAGTCAAAGCTCTCTGTGAGGTAGGAAATAACTCCCATTTCACAGTGGAAGACCAGCAACAAGAAGTTGAAGATGGGACGAGGAGAAGGCATTTACTAATCATTGCTGCATACTTTGCTAACCCTTTCACTGAAAGCAAAATCATAGATAAGTATGTTAATGTTTATGTTTGTAAAAGAAAATATATGATGTTTACCTCCACATGCCATTGTTTGCCCATAGCATTCACCACACGGCCTTCAATTGGTCTTCTGCACGCCCCACAGATGGGGACGCCCATTTTGTCATGGCAGGGTAAGCAGTATAATTCTCCCTTCAACTCACGAGCATCAGCAGTAAGTTCCTTCCTGTTCAAAAGTTAATGAATTGAGAGCATGAATATCGGCGCTGAACAAAGTCAACTCTTGAGAGTTTCTGAAAAAAACAATTTTTAGCATTTTAGAAATTGTATTTGTACTACAGTAATGCAGCAGCATCAAACATGACATAGTTAATACAGTTCAAGGCTGATCACAGAAAACTGAGAATAGGCTGCTAAGCGAGATGCGCTACGTCTCTCTGAAAACAGCTACTGAGCTACTGTCATTCTGCATTCTGGTTATGTGGCACAAATGTGTGTGTGCAAAGCTGGTTTATATTCTGGCACTCTTATCATCAGTTTATTTTAGATTTGCATAACTGTAACTGAAAGTAAAATGTAGTCCTCTACATCTAGGTACATTTCCCTTGTATTAAACTTCAGAGAAAGAAAACTACGGACCCACGTTTATTCACTGCCAATTGCAGAATCTCATATACTCTACTTTTTTTGTAATTTGCATGGTTAGAATACTGAGAACAACTAAACTTTAAATGCGACCACACTCACTAATGGTCTCACTAATGCTTGTGTCTGGTTGCCACGGACACACCACGACATGTTGTTATTCAAATCAGCCTTTGCTATGGCACTGAAATGGTAGCTTCCTTTGCACCAGAAATAAATGACCAATAATCCATGCTATATCCTACAATGCTCCATGGTCTGTGCATCACTGCAGGATGTAGAAATGTGCAGTTTCGTGTACTGCAGTTGCAGAAGCTGATAAAATGAGGTGGGAAAAAGCTTCTAAGATAGGCTTTAAAAGGAGACAACAAAGTCTGCATGCCACTCAACTAAAAAGAAATAACATAGGCAAGATAGTAGCTCAAGCAGCCAAAGAGGACCACTTTTCTTCCTCTCATAGCAGAATTAACAAACTATCACTTCGCTGCTACAGAAACCGTTATCTCTGTCCATACTTTGCATTTTGTAAGGTACCACCTTGTCCCGCAGACTCCAATCTGTCTTTACTCCCCGACACGTCAGCTGTTGTTTGAACTCAAGGTCCAGCTCCACCATCCCCAAAGCAGTAACACACATCTGGCGGCAAGGCTCCCGCACCCCACCCCACCCGCCAGTTGTACAGGATGGGTTTTCACTTTAAGATGTAATTCGATGAAGCAAATAAACCCAGCATTTCCCTGTTTTCCTTTGCGGAACTCAAGTTACCCGCAGTTTGCACAGTTGAAATGATCAGGGTGATAAGGATCGTTTTTGAATATGAGAGGCTGTTCATCAATAATGGCATGGCACTTCTGGCAAATGTACTTTCCCAGGCCTCTGGCTTTTTCCCTGTTATGGCAAGGACGGCAGAGATGTCTGAAACAGCATAAAAAAGAGAGGTAAGTACTGGTACAAGGTACTACAGTGCAAAATATAAACCGAAAATCTATTAGAACCTCATTTCAATCAGCCCTTTTTGGAGGGAAAATAGTCTTTAAAACAATTTCCTTACTAGACAAACCAAGTGCAGATGAGGCAGGGTGATCATTTTATTTTCTGTCACCGTAAGAGTATTTCTTCAGCTCATTTGGGTTTCAGCTGTGCTGAAACACAGGAAACAAAGTTTGCTATAGATTCTCATTGCTGAATGTTTTACTCTCTAAATCTTAAAAATTTAGATTGGAAGCTGGATGAGCACCACGGGTCCTAACTCTGTGGATAACTCTGTACATCCTATTATACGTATGAAGCCAATGGCCGTAGAATCCATTTGTAAAACATTCTTCTGATCACAGCTGGTAAAAGTATCCTGCTCTGTGAAGGATCCCACTGGACTTGACACAATTATTAACAAACAAGGTGCTAAACTAGACCAAAATTGGAAACCCAAGTTGGAAAAAGAAAGTAAAAATTTCTATTCAAAAAGTAAAGACAATGCTTCTGTATCTGAATGTTTTCTCTCTTATTATTTATAACAATGGCCCCAAAATGTCACGTTTCCCAAGAAACCTGGTGTTGAAGTAGGTAAACTGCTAATTTTTTAAGTGTATATCTTAAGATACCCATTCTTAGTTTTGTGATGTACTCTTAAAACCTTTTCCCCACAAAAGAAAATTTTTCAGTTGCTCCACCTCAGCTGGAAAGCTTCATGAACCAAAACCTCTCAGTCCCCCCTCTCAGTTCATTTTATTCATGATCAGTTAACAGAAGGAAGGGGGAAGACCCACCTGCCCGCATTCTTGACAAATCCAATATCGGCCAATACTTGTTGGCAGATATCACAGCAGAAGCACTCTGGATGCCAGCTATTGTTCATAGCTTTAATAACACGACCAATAATGAACTCACCTGTAAAAAACACACCACCAGGATGTAAAATACCATGCCAGACAAAGCTAAAAGCAACCCACAACCGAATCCCAACATCATCATCCTCTTCCTCCCCATCCCCAAATCTAGTAGGATGCATTGCTTTCAGTATCGCACTTCTGGTTCTAAACTCTGGAATTTGGGTTTGTTTGGGTTTTTTTGCTATGGGTCAGAAGAAAACGTCCTTGCCGATGCAGGACCTTCTGTTCTTTACATACAAGCCCTTCCACATGCACACTCCGCCTCCTCTCTGCAATCATCCTTTTTCAGTCCTTCCCTGTTTTTACTTACCTGTTCTCAAGCTGTTAAGAAATATATGGAGTTCTTTATATAATACGGCTTTCTCATGTCCTAATCATCTTTCTCCTTCTTTTCTTTTTAAGAAGATGACAATTTTAACTTGTCATGTACATTGTAGTGGTTTCTACTCCACTAGGACCAAGCCCTGAAGGGGCTCTATACTCCAAACACAACAGAACTGAGCTTGGGTGGCTGTGGACCTCCTGCAAGATAAATCCCATGGAGTCAAAACACAAAGCCGCAGGGAAGCTGCGGAACAGTCAATCCAACACACACAACTTCGGAGCTACCACGAGGAGTTCTGTCCTGCGAGGCATTAAAAAAACAGTGTGAGAACGACTGTTTTGCATGCAGAGTGTGACTGTACTGCACAGGCAATTGAGCCACGTCCACCACAGAGGTGATTTAGTCGTTCTCTGTGCGGACGTTGTAGCCCAAGCCCCCGAGCAGTGCAAAGGCTCTGCCTAAAACGTGCTGGGAGCTCGGCTTCCCAGTGCCGTGGGAGGCTGAGGCCTGGCTCTGGAGAACGTACAACTCGCACAGCTGCCAACGGGCAGCGGCCGGGCAGGTAACCGATGCGGACGATAACATCCAGCATCCGACTCCATGGCGTTCTCATGAAGTCATAGCTTTTCAAGAACAAAACCTGATGGACTCAAGAAATGCCAGGTATGCTCAAGGCCTCATTGCTGACAACTGCCCCGTCAATTTTGGTTGTGCTTACTAAATCCAAACAGTGGCAAAGCCCAGCTCTCTGCAGGACCTTGATGAGATTTTAAGAGAGCTGGTGCTAAAAGGAGCCAGGGCAGCAGAAGTGGGAACTGTGCCGGCTGGGCAGAAGAAATCCTGGAGACAGGCAGCGTAGCTCCTCAGAAATCACCATCAACCCATTTCTTCCCCTTCCCCTGCTTGTGCACATCGACAGCTTTAAATTCAAAGGTCTGTAACATCGGCTTCCCTCTCCCTCGATGTTCAACCCCTCCCTCCGCATGGGGAAAGGCCTCGCTGAGATAAGTGAAAGCCGTAGCGCCTTGCCAAGGTGCCACGGAAACACAAGAGCTTCCAGACCAGTTTCAGCAATAGTCAAGTGATGACTTCCCAGCCCTGCCCGAGCACGATGTGTCACACACCAGGCAAAAAAAAAAATAATGTGCAAATGATTACAGTGCAGCAGACACACAAGCATTTACATCAACAGTGGCAAATAAAAAGCATGTAGCGTGGACATTAGACGCTGAAGCCTTAAAGGTATTTGTTTCAAAAACACACCAGGGGACCAGCTGACCATCATTTGATTATAACACTAGACGATGAAGATTGTCCCTGCTTCTGTGGAGTAGGACAGCAACGGGTGGGTTACAATAGTCAAAGCAGATGACAAAGACTTGTTGCAGGGTTTCAGCTGCATGAGAAGGGCCAAATACAAGCACATGCAGATGTACAGATATAAATAATCAGGAGTCACGAATGGTGTATATAATCAGGAGTCCACGAACGGTCTGTTCATTGGATCACTGGATCAACAGCTAAACTACTCACTCAAATAATGCAAACTTTTTTTTTTTCATTCCTATTGTTTGATGACCTTTAGGGAAAGCAGCTCCCCAAATTCTCTGAAGTCTAGTCCATTCTGGGCGTTCAGAGGCTCAGTCACACAGGGCCAGCGAACACAGGCAAGGGCTGCCCACCTTCCCCCAGTGACGTTCCCATTTGTGATCAGTGTGAAGTGTTTCACCTCGGTGTCAAACTTACCACATTGATGGCAGCAAGGGGCGAAAAGCATTTGAAAATCATGTTCACAGTACTTCCTCCCCTCAAACTGCAAATGGAAAAAAATCGGAGTGTTAGAGGAATAAGGAGCATGCCCTTAACGTAAACGCTGTAACACACCAGTTTGTTTACAGATGCACTTAGGCAGTAAAACATGAGGGGCTGCAAAAAAACCCAGACCATGTGCTAGGCATTAAATCCACCCACCTTAATTCAGCTACATGTTTGCATGTAGCGTTAATAGCACGTCATTCCTCTAACGCTGCTGAGAGCGCATGGCATTTTCCGTCACCCATTTACACCGCAAGAGACATCTGAATTTTGAGACTGCTGAAACTCTGATGCAACTGAGCAAATCCTGGGCAGGAAATTAGCTAACGAAAACCCTTCCTGGGGGGAAGCATTTTCCCCGAACCCGTTTGATCTCTTCTTCCCCCCTCTACATTTCCTGCAAGAATGACCCAGCATACTGGAGGGAGTGAGTACGGGGGGAGGAAGAACACCCAGGGACAGAAATTTTTACAATTTATGGAGCAGTAAAGCCAAAACATGAAGGGAAATAAGGCTTTTCCTTTGTGATTCTTATTTCATAGAATCGTAGAATCATTTAGGATGGAAAACACCCTTAAGATCATGGAGTCCAAATTTTAAGGAAGAAAGTTCATTACATCGACCATATGAAATAGGGAACCAATCTTAAGGGATTTGGATCTGAGTTTTATCACCGCTTAGAGAAGTTCAGCTGCAGTTCAAGCTCGCATAGAAAAAAAACATATGGGGAAAAAAAAAACAGTTCTACAGCACTGCATTAGCAACTCAGTCGAAGAATATGTAAAAACATGTAGGCAAGTATGTCCTGAAATGAAGGGAAATGTTTAGATACCTTCAGGCACATCATTACTAGACACAAATGCCAAGTAACATGTCGAAACTAGATAGACAGTATTAGGTATGCCGTAAAATGTTTGGATTTGAATGTCTTGGTTTAAAACAGTGGAAAAAGAGGGATCGCAGGAAACCCCACTCCTTTGTTTTTACTGGGTCTAAGGCAAAACAAAGCGAAGAGCGTAAAATACTACCTACAAACTGAGTTTTGGTGCACGTCAGAAAATACAGCGATATGCTTCACAATTGCCTGTTTTATCCTATGAAATTCCAAGGATCAAATACAATATAACTATAGTAATTACTCGTGCAATATACAGAGCCACTGGAAGGACGGGGATCTAATGAAACACTCTAAAGGTCACTGGGTACTTGAGATCAGACACTTAATTCCTGTGCCCAACCTGAATTGCACCTACTAGGAACAGAACGACACGTGCTCGATACAGACTCTTTCAGAAGTCTCTGCTAGCCATTTATCAGGTGTTTTTTCCAGTGTAATACTCCAAAACAGATGACACTTTCAGTTGGAGCTTTTTTTAAAAAAAACAATTGAGAGACAGAGGGCTATTACTTTCTCAAAGAGTAATGGAAATTATTAGTTCATTGTGAATTATGCTTGCTTCCTGCCAGATAAAATCCTTTTTAAACTGAAAAAAATCCGAAACCTTCCTGTTTTGTGTAAACAGGTGGTGCAATGGGAGATGCTTAGGTTTGCTTGGATTTCAGAGCCACCACATGTTGATCCGGGCAGACCAAACAGGTTTTCTTCCCCTCTGGTTTGCATCAGGCAGGTTGGTTACCATTCAGTCTTGTTTATATTATCAACCTTCTCGGCTCATTTGTGCTGCCTTTTGTGGATGACCCAGCAGTTCATCTGTCGGAGAAAGCCTGGAGTTTCTGTAACAAATCCTACAGCACATATTTTAAAAGTAAGGTCATTTGACTGCTGTATGCTGGAGGTCCATCAGTTAAATGGCTCTGCACAGAAGACTTCACCATGACATAACATCCAGCTGATCTCCATGTTTTGAGCTAACTTAGTGGAAAGACATGCACAAAAACTGAGTCTTTAAAGACCCTTTCTCGAAGGTAGTTTCTGGTAAAGCCCATTTTAAGAAAAGACTTGAGGTGCAACTGGAATAGAAACAAATCTGACAAGCACATTGCAGCTGCACCCTCCTTTAATCTTCCTAGAGGTTATTACAAACATCCTAGAAAAAAACCCAAACTCATTTAGGAGACAAAAGTCACGTGCCATTCCATTTAATAATAATAATAATAATAA